TTCTGGGGAAAAAAAAATCCTCACCAATATTAAAGAATGGTTGTATTTGTTTAGTATTTTCTTCCTCTGACCATTTTTAAAGCTCCACGATATCTGAAACGTATCTGGGTTATTTATTCCTATATTGCCAGTGTTAAAAACAGTGACATACAGTGTAGATCTTCCCGTCACTGGGTGAATCGGTGAGTAATTAAGCAGATATATAAATGAGTGGCTTTCATGTTTCACCTGGGACATATAGAGGCATCATCTCACATTTTTTTGCTTTTTTTCCCCCATGACCCTCCTTGCGTATTCTATGTATTTTTGGTTTGATTCTTGTTGTTTGCTGTTACTGCCTCTCAGCTTACCAGGTACCGTAAAGTTCAGGAAGTAAAGATGTCTACACATTATTTAGCATCCTTGCCATTGAAAAGCAGAGTCCTCTTGAAGCTTGGCTGGTCTGTGAAAGGTTTGACCCATAGGTATGATGAAAGGGTTTCTCTGCCATCTCTGGGCTTTGTCTTTAGGGGTTACAGGCTTCTGCATCCTTTATTCTTGGAGCCCTGAGCCATGCAAACGGAGCCTGCTGCCTGGACACCATCACGCTATGAGGAAATGGAAGAACCATGCGGGGTGTGAGGGAGGGGAGACACTCAGCCGGCTGGGGTCCCAGACATGTGCCGTGCCTTCCCCACCTGTCCTTCGGGATTGTGCCCCAGCGCAAAGGTGAGCGGCCCCGTCCAGCCGTGATGTCAAGGCAGTTCTCATACAAAAGTCCCAGACATGTGCCGCCTTCCCCACCTGTCCTTCGGGATTGTGCCCCAGCGCAACGGTGAGCGGCCCCGTCCAGCCGTGATGTCAAGGCAGTTCTCATACAGTAACGGACAACCAGGAGGGGCTGCCCAGCCTGGCCACAGAGGACCAGTGCTTTCAGACATATAAAACACGCCACATCCGCTGGGCACTCATCACGCTTACAAACCTCCCACGGGAGAGCGTTTCCCAAATGCTGCTTTATGTAAAAAAATAAACAAATAAACAGCATAGCTATGAGTTCATGCCCCCCCCGGGGGGGCAAACGTTCCTTTGGTTTTGTGCTTTGGAGAATTTTTCCTTGTGGACTTTTATTTTTGTAAAACAGACTCTCAGTTGGATTTCATTATCCATGTGACTACTAAAAAATTCTAATCTCAAAATTGAGACCTATATTTTAAGAACTTCAATCAAAAAATTAGCAAGAAAAGTATGTCCTGAAGGAGCGCTCTGAGACCCGAACTCTCCACTTCTATTCACGACAGTCTCAGATGATGCCAATCTGGGACCCCAGCCCTCAGCCTCCCCTTCTGCGGGGACTGGGAGGGGAGATCAGCTGGGGATGGATGTGGCAGGTTTTATATTTCCGTTGTTTGTAGTACTGAGGATTAAACCCACAGCCTGTGCACAGAGCTATGTCCCCAGCCTTCATTGTATATTTTGATACAGGGTCTCCTTAAGTCACTAAGTTGCCCAGGCTATGCTCAAACTTATACTCCTTCCTGCCTCAGCCTCCTAGAGTGCTAGAATTACAGGCTGTGTCGCCTTGCCCAGCCAATTTGAATGTCTGCGGAATCCAAGGAGCTTTATTCTGGTCGTCTGTGACTGCTTGTTCCCTGCCCAGAGCTGGCTCCTTCCTGTGTGGTCTTGTCTGTGGGTGGAAGTGCTCTCAGCCTTCACATCTGGCGTCCTTCTGTGTAGACAACATCACCTGGCCTGGGTGGGCCAGCCTCAAAGTCACATGGAACAACTTGCCAGCAGCTTCCAGAAGGGCTCCCACTGGCATCCTTGCTCAGACTAAGGGCCTGGGAGACCGGCTCTGGTCAGGTTCGTGGATGGGGGAGTGGGAGCACGTCAGGAATTGGGGCAGACGTGGAGGAGAAGCAAGACCATCTTCCTCTCAGTAAAATGTGTTGTCTCTCAGGACAGGGAGGCTCCTGGGCTGGTAAAAATGGCGGAGAGCAGAGGAGGACCTCAGAGAGAGCAGATAGGAGGCTGGAGAGGCTGAGTGAGCCATGAAATCTTGGGATGGAGGAAAGGCCTGCTGGGGTGGCGATGAAGGGCTGGGGCCGTGGTTGGGGTGGCCGGGTGTGAGGAGGGAAGCCGGTGTCCAGCAGATGCCTCTGGTTGATGTGGGCGGGGTGGTAGGGGCCACCTGGCCAGTGTGCAGGACCCCAGCTCGCATAGCCTGCACTGCTCCCCACCAACAGACCAACTCTGCTGATTTAAACCTGATCTAGAACAGAGCCACGCCCTGCCTGCTTTTCCTCTCCCTTGTGGTGAGTTCTCCATGCTGCCAGCAGAGCTGCAGTCCTGCCAACATTCCACCCAGTGTGTCTGGCTCTGGCCAACTCTAGCCTTATCATACCCCACAAGGACGCTGGTTCTGCCTCAGACCTGCGGTCTCTCTCACTCCTGTTGTTCGTTCTGCTCTCCCCTACCTCAGGACCTTTGTACACATTGGTCCCTCTACTTGGTGTGCTTTTCTCTCCTCTCCTCACCTAACTAATAGCTCCTTATTCTGTACATCTTGGTCAGTTAGCATTTTCTTGGGCAAAGATCCCCACACCCCTTCGTCACTGGATATGCACCCTCTTCTAAATTCTCCGGGCCCCGTGGTCCACCTGCGAGTGTGTGCTCCCTCACAAGAGGAGTGCTCCACAGATGCTCCTGTCTCTTGTCCGTTCGGGCCCATCGTGGCATCCCCAGCGCCCAGCGCCCAGCGCACGGGAGGTGCTCAGCATTTTTCCCAGATGGGTGAGCTGCATCATTTGCTTGGGGTGGAAGTGTGAGTGTTGGGGTCTGCTTTATCCTCCTGCTTTTGCTTCAGATTCACCCAGAATGATGCAGTGAAGAACAAGTCATAGTGCATTTGTCCTCCAGAAGAGAGGGCAACACTTTATTTTTATTTTTATGATGCTACCAAGGAAACAGGTTTCCAGGCCCTAGAACAGCCTACCTGGACCAGGTTGTCCCTGCCCTCTGATTCACTTGCCACCCTGACTTGCCGCCAGCCCAGCATGACTGTCACTTCTCTGACCAAGAGAGGCTTTTGCTGATCCCTACCTCACATCATAAACAAAAAGCAGTTTTAAGAGTGTTTGCAAATCCTTTTGAAAAAGGTAAAACAATAAGGCTTCACAGTGATGGCAAAAGAAATTCTCTTGGTACAGGAAATAGATTCTTCAGTAGGACATAAAAAGCATTGAGCAGAACAGAAAAGTCTTCGAAATGGGACTGCATTACCATCAAGAACTTCGACCTATCAAAATAACCTTGAAGAAAGTCACAGAGGGTCAGAGGGTGGGAGAAATATTTTTAATATAGGTATTCATCAAAGAACTTGCACAAGCAAAATGCAAGAAGAACTACAAATCATTAACAACGGGTCAAACATATGAAAAGGGAATTCACAAAATAGAGCATTCTAATGCCCAGTGAGCGTAGCAAAGGAGTTTTGCCTCTATCGTCCTTTGGATAATGCAAGTTGCAGCCACCCTAAGATGCCGCACGTGCCTACAAGAATGACTAGAAATGGAAACCCAGGTGACAGCACCCGTGGGGTGAAGCGTGGAGCGCTACCTCCCAGAAGTGGAAATGGTTTGACTCTGGGCAGCTGCTGGATGGTGTCCGACGAGGCCGGACGAGCTTCTGCCTTGGGTCCCTCAGTTCCAGCCCAGGGTGTAGACCCAGCAGCCGTGTGCACACGAGTCCGCACAACACCTGCTGCCGAGGATGTGCACAGCAGCCTGTTCATGGTAGCCCCAAACTGGAAGCAGCTTAAAAGTCCACCAAACGCACAAAGGATGAGAATGGTAAATGTGGTGAACACACAGCAAAAAGAGAGGGAGGAGAAACCAGTGAGCGCCCTGCTGCTCCAACTGCCTGCGACCCTCTGGGTGGCGCTGCGGGAAGCCAGGCCCAGGACAGAACGAGCAGCTCCATTCCCTGTGTACGCAGCTCACCCTAGGACGCGTGGGGAAGACCCCGGGGTGGGAGTGGTCTTCGTGTTGCCAGGGAGGGTGATGGCACGGGGCGATCACGTGGTGCAAATTCAGAGAGCAGAACACTTGGGTTTCGTGCGATTTTCCGAATGTGAATTATGTGTCATTTCTATTAACATTTGCTTGAAAGTAAGAGGAAGGAAAGGCCACGCTCCAGCCACTCACTCTGCCCACTGCTTTACTGTCCTCCTGCTTTTTACCCGTTGTGGGACTCTGGGCAAGCTGCTCCGCGCATCTGTGCCTCAGTTTCTCGTCTATGACAGTGAGGGTGATAGTGGCTGAAGGGACCGCCCTCGAGAGGTGCTGTGACAGCCAGGGAGATGGCACCTATGGAGCTCGGGAGCTTGGAGCAGGCTCACCTGTGGATTTCTACACGCCTGGCCCTGCTAGTCTCTGAGGGCCTCGTGGTTGCCCCAGATCCCCCTCCCTGGCTAAATACAAACTGCAGGGAGCAGGATCCGGGCAGCCTCGCTCCCATTGTGCCTCGCTCAGTGCTTGGCTGCCACAGTGTTTAGTGAGACCACAGCAAGGGCTGGGCAGGGAGCACGGGCACATTTCCAGCACAGGAGCCGAAGGGAAGGGGAGGTCTACTCGGCCTCGGTGGAAGTGGGGCCACCTGGGCCCCCGCTTACTCATCCAGTACCCAGGAGGGGCTGCTGCCCCAAACAGAAAAACCCGGTGCCTCCACCGGAGTGGAAGAGCAGGGATCAGAGAGGCAGCAGCTTTGGTGCCAGGGGGCAGAGGCCCTGGGACCAGCCTAGTGAGACTCGGCTCAGGACCAGAATAGAGCCCGCAGTTTGCTCCATCCAGTGGGCCTTGGCCTTTCTCTCCAGTTATGCCGAGACCACCAAAGCCCAGGAAGAATGCTCCTGAGGGCATCGCACTGGATTATAAAGGCCTCGGGCCCCATCCCAACAAGGCAGCCATGACTTCCGTTGCTGTCAAGGCCCCCAGCTGGCAGTGATCCGGAGTTGGAGGACAGGGACTCCCTTGTGACTCCAGCCCAGCCCAGAGCAGCAGACGGGCGTGCAGGAGGCCTGGCACTGAATTCTGTCTGGGGAAGCAATCAGGGGATGCTGCAAATGTGTCCCCACCGATCACGGGAAACTCTGCCTGACAGGACATAATAATCTTTGTCATCACGGGGAGGCAGGGAGGCCAAAAGTCTCAATGTTTTAAAGGGAAATTTTAATTAGTATGTAAATTCAACTAGCAGCATTAAAATGTCATTTGCTAAGTAAATGTTGCTGCACTCTGAGTTCAGGTATTTATTTGATCCTGTCCTGCCAAGGTGCCTTTGTGGGTTTCCTGAGTGTGTAATAACAGCATTTCAAAAACAAAATGAAATTCTCCCTCAGTTACAATGCACCCGGGGTACGGCTGCACCGCCGGCGATGTGACTGGAATATTTTAAGGAGACAGCCTCTGGCAGCAGCACAAGTGTCCCCCCTCCCTGCCTGCCCGATGGAGATGTGGAAGAGGCCCCACATGCCGGAGTCAGACCCCCTAGAAGCAGTGGTCCTGGCCTGGGACCCTGGGTCGATGCCAGTTTTGTGCAGTAAGCACCCAGGGCTTCGGAAGAAGGGGGATGTTTGAGCGGAGAAGTCACAGAGTGTCCAGAAAACCCGCATGGAAACCCGCCTGCAGAAAAAAGGGGCAGAGGAGAGAACCAGCCGCCATATTTTCCTTAATTCCAAGATAAATGATGACTTAGTGATAGGGATCCTCTGGGTCATTGTCCAGCCCTCACATGCCCTGGAATCCACCCTCCCACACACCGCGGTCAAAGCGTGTTTGGAATCTAAGCTGCAGTAAACTGTCCACGTGTGCAGCCCCTCGACGGCCCTACGCTGCCCACAGCCCCTGGGTAAAGCCATTCGTCTCTCAGCAGCAACTAGACTGAGTGTACCCACGAGTGGGGGCCGTTGTGCCAAGCCCCGTACTTCCCAGAGGTGCAGTGGGAATCTCAGCAGCCTCCTGTCCCTGAGTTCGCCGCCTCTGGCTGCCAGGCATGGCTGCCCAGGATGACGGGAGGCCGCTTCAGTCATGCTGGGCAGGGCGGGAAGTTGCCTCCCAGTGCAGTGCTTTGGTTCCCATGCTGGCCGTGGCCCTCGCTTGCTGAGGTCTTGATTCTGGAACCACCTGCCCCTAGCGCTGCACCTGACCCCGTCCTCTCCACCTCCAGTGGCACCTGTACATCCAGGTGTGTCTCCAGGGCTCACCTGGGAGCACGTGTGGTGCAGAGAGACTCCAGGGCTCACCTGGGAGCACGTGTGGTGCAGAGAGCAGGCAGGAAGTGAGAGAAGACCGCCGAGTGCAGCCCCACGGAGATGAGTCATTTCTGCCAAGGTGTAGGAGAGAGGTAACACTTAGCACCTCCTGCCCCAGCTGAGCATGAACTGTGCTGCAAAAACACTCACCTTTGCCTACTGAACATTTGTACTGTAAAATCCAAGTGGAATCACAATAAAGAGGCAAACCTCCCTGCTAGCACTAAGCTCCACCACCCACAGAGAGAATCAAACACAGAGGAGAGGGCCGGGTTTCGCACGCTGTTTCCAGCTGTCATTGCTAAGCCTGCAGGAGACCCCAGGTGAGCACCTCCTGGACGCAGCCCACCTCAGCCCATACCGCAAGCAGTGCCACGCACCTGGAGCCCATAGGCGTGCGGAGAAGAGAAGTCGCATGAGGCTCCCGAGTGAGGAGGAACTGTGCCACTCCACGGGGCACGGCCCATGGGGCGATCAGTGGACAGGCCTGGGAGGCCCCAGGGGGACAGGCTTGGAGCGCAGGGATGGGAAGCCCGGGGCAGCGGGCCTGAGACTCGGACTGGCCAAAGGCCAGGCCGGGCGGGGCATCAACTCTGTGTCTCCTCGCCCGTCCCTCTTGCACACCTCTGACTCACTCGGGAGAGCTGGGACCACAGAACAGGCACCTCCTCCGCGCCGCAGGGGAAGGACGTGTGCTCTAACGCCGAGTGAGGGCAACTTCCGGCGCCGTCTTCCCGCCCATATTCCTACTGCTCCACTCCTCTGCTCCCTCTCATTGATTTATTCCCTCAGCTGATGAACTGGTCTGGATGGGGCCTGCCTCTGAGGAGCGCACCTTCCCTCCAGGCGCTTCCTGTCTGGGAGCAAAGAGAAACAATCAACAGGCTTCCAAGTAAACTTTCCACTCGTGACATGGGGGTTACAAAACTCCTCCAAGTCAACACAAAGTTAAATGCCTTGTGTGGATATGAAGGACGAGGCAACTGGTCACCCACATGCTCTTACCTCGGCTTCGACCCCGTCCCAGGCACCCAACATCCTGGGTGCTAGGCGGGAGGTCGTCCCGCAGAGCTGGTGTGGTGCAGCTCCAATCCCCGCACGGTACGTGGAGGTGGGGCCTTTGGAGAGGAGAAGATGCTGAAGGGGGAGCCCTCTAGTTGGGATTGGGGCCCAGAGAAAGGGGAGAAGGTGCTAGCTGCACACCCGGATGGGGCGGCCCTCACCAGATGTCAGATCACCCTGTGCTTTGATCTCGGACTTCCCACCCTCCCAACCTGCCAGAAATAAATATTGATTGTTTAACCTTCCCACCCCACCCAGTCCACTGTGTATTTGTTTTGGCAGCCGGATCTGGCTAGGATATTTGCTAAGAAGAGAATCAAAACTGCATTGGGAAAAGCCGTATGTATGAAGAATTGGAAACCAGGTTAGAGAAAAACAACACCTATAGGACTTTCTCTGGATAAATTAGGATCAGTGCTGAACCCAATTTTACTTAGCAGTTCTCTAAATATCAATCCAATCCTATCATCACAGAGTTTAGGAAACTTTAGTGGTGTTCATTAACCAGGCCATCCTGGGCAAGTTCTCTAATTGTGCTTTGTGTTGTGGATAAAATTGGGAATTCCAGTTCTGAAATCTCTTGATGCCTCTTTTCACTTGGAGGCATGTATCTGGCTTCCACCTTTCCGATTCCCACTGCTGTGACCAAAGCCAGGTAGTAAGGGTTTCAATCAGTCCTTAGCATCCCTCAGTTCCTGGGCCCTGCTGGGAGGGAGGCTGGAGTCCAAAGACATGTGCTTTCCAGCCAGCAAGTTGGGGCTCCAAACCGGGTGCCCACACTTCACTGGGGCTCAGCATAGAGCGCGGTCTGTAGCAGGCAGGGACGTGATTCTTAAGGTGATTTGGGCTCTACCCAAACTTGTTTTTGGTGCCATCTTCAGAACTTCATTGCTGGGCCCCACCCATCTATGGGGGGGTGGCTTTTGGAATCCTGAGCGGGAGAGCAGTGAGGACAGCCAATCACAGAGCCAATAACAGAGCCAATCACCGAGCAGGCCTGGGGTGGGAGGTGCAAGGTGTCAATATTTTTGCACAGCTGGACAGTGATGGTCGCCTTCCCTCACGGCTTGGATGTGTTTCTTCCCTGGGATGGGGAAGGGCAGGCCCAGTGGAAGGCCCTGTACGCTGTCTCCGCCAGCCTCTCTGCCCTCTCATCTCTTCCCTGGTGGAAAAACCCACCTCCGTGACCGAGGCTGCGATCGGCCACTCCTCACACCTAGGACAGGACCTGTGGCGGAGGAGAGTGTGGCAGTTATCTCTAATGCCTCTTAGATTCCTGTGATCTCCTCAGTGTCTAAGTTAGGGAGGCCAGATAAATATGGATGCTAAGTTAAATTTGAATTTCAGAAAAACAATGAATACTTTTTTAGTATAATTACGTCCCAAATATTGCATGGGACATATACTAAAAATGCTGTTACTGAGCTACAATTCAAATGTAACTGGGAATGCTGCACTATACACTTGCTAAATCTGACAACTCTATTCAGAAAGCTGTTGACCTTTACCTGCAAGTCTCTGCAAAGAACTGTCCCGGGCTGCTGGAGCCCTGGGCCTCCACCACAGAGTACCTGGCTGGAGTTCACTCACCCAGCCCAGTGCTCCAACAGGGACTCCTAGACAGAGAGGGGCTCCAGATTCCCATCCCCTATCAGGAGGACAGGGCGCTGCTGCTGTGTCTTCTGGGATGGCAGCACTTCTGCGGGCAGCAGGGCACCAGGCATGAGAGCCCCACAGGTGTGTGCTGTGTCCCCACATGATCTTATGTCCTGCTGGTGGCCTGGCACCCTGAGAAGTTAGTGTCCCCCGAATGTGGGGTCATTGATGGTGGCAGAAGTTTTCCCGGTGGCCTTGCTCTGACCCTTGCTCTGAACTCCCTGTAGTTCTCAAGAATAGCAAGAACAACCATCCGATGTACGGGGCATGCAGCACCCTCTGACGGGGCCGGACTGGAGGGCTCTGTCCCAGTCCCCAAAGCAGCATGTCCTGCAGCCCCTTAGCCTAAAAGTCACTTAGCCACAGGCTGTTGGACCCAGTGGGCCACTTCCCTGGACCCCTGCCCCTCGGTGCAAGCTGCCTCTGCAGCCACGCCCGCGTGTGCTCAGGGAGCTCCCTGACCTTGGGCAACAGTCTCTGGATGATCCAGGCTTCAGCGGTGTCCTGCTGCCTGCCTGTAAATCACAGATCTGCCCCAGGTAACTCGCTGCCTATGAGTGTGCCCGGTGTCGCCCACTCAGACAAGCTGATAACCAGTGTGCAGTGAGCCAGCTTCGTGGTGGCAAAGTTTAAAAGACTCAAGTTCAAGTCCGTCTGGCCCAGAGCTCTGCACACCACTTAAGTCCTTGCAAGGACTTTCCATTTTCCTCAGGGCTCTTCAGCCTTGCTCTCTCCATTTCCTTGGAGGGGCTAAATCACATACTTGAGTTTTATCCTACTTGTGAGCCGTTTCTGTATATCAGTAGCTGCTACATAGAGCAGACGAAGAATTTTTTATGTGAGTGTGTCTGTATGGAAAGTTTTACAGGGGCACAGGGTCAAAGGAATTGCCTTCCACGAATTGCTGTGACGGAGATGAGTCCCGAAGCTCATGAAAGCAGGACTGCACCGCGATCCCTGAGCGTTTTTACCAACTTGAAGTGGTTGAAACAACCAGCCAAAAGGAAAGAGTCACACCTTAAAGCTGGAGGGATGAGCCTCTCGGCAAAATTAAGCAGTGATGCTGTGTTCCCTGAGAAATGGGCTTGGCTGGGCTGAAACTGATCTTAATTATTCCAGTAACTAATTAGAGCCTAGTATTTATATTAGCTTTGAATTTTTTTAAGTGACTCATATCAAACACAGGTGAGCTCCACAGCACATTAGCAGAAATGTTCATAGTAGTCTATATGAAAACAGGGAACATCACTAAGCCAGGGAAACCTCCTTAATAAAGCTAATAATGAAAAGAGCACTTCTTTCAGCTGTTTCGCAGATGTCTCTTAGTGACTGGATTCTTGATGGAAGCTAAGAAGTCTCACCCCCTGGGTATGAGAATTTGTGTGGTATGGGTGACAGCTTGTGTGATCAGCCTTGTGACCTGGGTTTCTTTCCCCATTCAGTAACGCGGTCCCTGCTACCCAAGGATGGGTGATGTTGTCACTGTTCCAGAAATAAAGGGACTGATCCTGGGAATCCCAGGGTTTGGACTACATTCTGGCCCTTCTGTGGAGATGGACGGGCATTCTGCCCCAGCAGGAGAGAGAGGCACAAGGGTGAGGCAGGAGGTCAGGGCATGGCAAGCCAGCTGAGGAAATGGGTATAACCTGTCAAACACAGAGATCGTAGGAAATGTGTAGAAAAACAATTCCCAAAGCCCTGAGTCAGGGACCAATCAGAGAATGTTATCTTCAATTCTTGCAAGAACTCAAGCAGGTTTCTGATAGGTGGGCCTAGATCTGACGTCAGCCTGAGGAGTGGGAGATTCAGAAGATGGCTGCCCCTGAGCTCTCAGCCACTGTGCTCTGTCTTTCACAGCGGTCCTTCTGCTCTCACCCTGAAGTGGGACTTCTTTTCCGACTCTTAATTGGCCCGCACTCATTCTGCAGAGCAAGTTTCTTTTCCTACCTTTAATAAACATAAAACCTCCCTACCTTTCGAGCTCATTTTGTCCAATTCTCCTTGTTCTGCACAAAAAGAACCTAGAACCTCTAGAACGAGCCCCCAAGAACCCCATAACATGGGCTGCACGTTCCTGGCACAGCCGTGCACAGACCACCCCAGGCCGCTGTGGAGAGTGGAAGAATATTTCTGTCCCTTACACCAGGACGTCGCTATCATCTGAGACTGTGTGAATCAGGACACACAGCTGCTAACTGAGCATCTGTCTGGAACCCCAGAGGTGGCTCCTTTGGGCTTTCTCGGGGGTCCTCCCACCCAGCCCTATGGAGCCCAAAAGTAATGTGACTGTTTAGAGTGGAAATAAAGGGCTCAGCCTGTCCTACACACATTCATTTTTTGGGGGGAAGTGAACGGGAAAAGATAGATGCCACCATCAAAGAGCATTGGCAGTTGGCACATGTCAGGGACAAACTAGGCATGTCACCAGCATTTTCCCATTGAACATCCCCAGCTACTCCAGAAAGGAGATGCTGTTTGGACTCCATTTGGCACATGAGGAGATAGGCATGGAGCAGATGCCCTATGATTAAGGTCATCTACTTTCCAAGGGCAGAGCCAGAATCATAAAGCCAGATTTGTCTGACCCCAGGGTTCTTGCTCTCCTCTCTGCATCCAAGTACCAAAGGCTGAGAATACCTAGCTTTTTTTTTTTTTTTTTTTCGGTACCCAGGATCCAACTCGGGTCCTTGCACTTGCAAGCCGGGCAGCAGAACCACTGAGTAAATCCCTGGCCCACCTAGTCTTTTTTTATATTCCTACCTGGACCATCACTGTTCCAAACACATGATTAAAGAACAGAAAGGAACAGCAACAAACTGAGGGGCACTACCCAGAAGTAATGAAAATAGGGTGACTTCAAATCCTTCCTTCCTCCCTCCCTCCTCAGATGTAGCAAATGTTTCCTGGGCATCTCATTAAGCAGACAGCAGGGAAGTAGACAAGAGTGCAATTTTTGGTGACCCTGTCATCACAGAGGAAGAAGGACAGGGGTACACACCTCCCAGCTTCTCCATTCTCGGGCCACTAGATCTAAGAGTAAAAGACAGTTTAGCTAGTTAGCACATAAGTAGACAGCTAGCTGGAGAAAGGCCTTGAGTTAGAGTTGGGTGGTCAGTCACACTGAGAAGAATCAAAATAAGAATAGGCAGTAAAACTAGGACTTTGACCAGGAAAGGAGCTTCTCAGCCAACATGGAATGCAAGGGCTGAGTTTCCAGGAATTAAAAAATGCAGAACAACCGACTTTTCTTTAAAATCTCAGTTTCCTTTGTAGGCTGCATTCTGAACTGGTTTAGAGAGCCTGACTTCCACTGGTCATTTTAAACCCACAGAGCTACCTGTGATAGGCAGCCACTGTACAACTGAACAATTCCTGCGCTCTGCTTATCCATAACAAGTTCAGGATCGGGTCGGGGGGGGGCACATGGTACCCATTTCCTGAGA